AGCCGAAAGAAGAAAAAGCAAAGTGCCGCAACTGCGAAGGGCCACACCCTGCCAGCTACCGGGGTTGCAAAGCTTTCTCCATCAAAAACAAACCAACCAAACCACGTGAGAACATCCAACCTACCAAAACTACGACTTCTAATGTCCGACAAGGGATCTCTTATGCTAAAGCAACAGCGGGGACACCAAAACCGGAAAACTCCGAAACAGAATCATCAATCTTCGACAAACTGGACCTGATGACATTCAAGACCGCCATTATCAACCTAGCAAACCAACTTAAAGGTGCCACAACACCAGGCGAAATCTTGCTACATCTATTGGGCAACGCCCATATTCTTTTGAACATCATCAACAACTAATATGTAGTACAACATATGGCTGAAGAGGGCCTCGCGGCCCTAGAACGGCCTGAGGGGGGGAAAAAATGAGTACCGACAGTTCGTCGAGAGCAGCGGAACGAAGCAGACGTACCAACAACATCGCAAGACAGCAGAGCCGACAGCCTCTACACAAATTCGTGGGACCAGACAAATAGCCTTTATTAAGGCTTCTCAATGTACGACGCCATGGACTGCGACGGTTTCGAAAGGCCTAAGAAAACTAGGAAGACGTCAAATACCTATTCGAGAGAACGAGAACCATTACCGACGAGAAATAGTTTCGACGCGCTACACAGCGAAACTACAGACGAACGAAGACCACCACCGATCGTGCTACATTACGCAGAGGACTGGACCACCATCAACAAAGAACTAAAACACCAGCAGATAATCCTACGCAGCGCATCCCACACAAAGGATGGTATCCGTCTCCAGCCCCGCTCCAATCAAGACCACAGCAGGACAGTCAAATACCTAGAAAGCACTGAAACGATGTACTACACCNCGTTTGAGAGATGGGAAGGAGTCCGATCGGTTAAGCGGCTAAAGTAGATCCCCTGCTATTGCTAATAAATACTTTTTAGTCAACATTCGAATGACAAGAACGGTCAGTGGACTTTATTTCCCAAGAATAATACATTAATAAAATTGAAACTATCAAAGAATAGCATATTAATAACGATCAGGGACGCAACAGCTTTACAGTTCGACCGGGTGCTCCCATCATAAAACTATAAATGATTTAAAAAAAAAGAGGTCACCAATGTATTGAATTTCTTATACCTAAAAAGATCGAGTTCGGCTGCTCAAGCTCAAGCTTGAACTATTTGAACCGAACTTTCAGGTTGGGTTATTATCTGAATCGACTGGAATTAACTGGGTACCCGTAGACCCCCCTTGTTGCGTCCCTGATAACGATACATCGAGATCTGTACAGTTCTCATTGTTTAAGATCAAAATGTAACTATTGTAACTTAAATCTAAAAAATATTAAATCTGTTCCTGGTTCGTTCTTCGAATTTTTCGGTCATGCATGATATAAACATCCAGCAAAGTTTATTCCCGGAACTTCGACCAACGTAGCGGTCGGCTAAGTGACATCACCAAGGGTACCTACGGTTTTTCCTTTCATTACCTATTCCAACTACCTGTACCACCCGCTACAACCGTTCTTGTACATAACTACGCTCTTCTATCTTTTTAAAATTTGGTTTTATTTACTATAATCAATTTACTTTTCTCTATTTTTTTACCCTTATGGGGTTGTAGTTTCCCTCTCATACTTATTTTTATAAGTAATACATTATTTTCTAATTCTTTTTTTTAGACTTTTTTTATTTTGTTAATTCTAACCATAAAATCACGTTTCTTTCTTAATCTTCTCTGTTTCCAAGCATGCTCTATCCGTTTCTGCTATCAGTTTTTCATTTTCATTCGCGAACTTGACGTTAAAAACGTATTCGTTTTTAATCGTTACTTTACCCTTCTCTCACTACCCCACCTTCAACCCCTCTTTTTCCCAACCTTTGCCGGTACTGAATTTATATAAATACCCATGCTTCCCTGAGTACCTCACTCCCGGTTCGAACTTCGAGACGACAACATCTACTACAGCAGCGGTCGACAACAACTACTCGATACTAGAGTTCTTCAGCGACAAAAAATAGTCTTTCTTAAGACTAACCTGCACCATGGAGATAGACGAGGGTTTCGTAATCCCGAAGAAGACGAGGAAGATTACGTACGACCAGAGACAGGCCACTAAGATAACTACATCCAACAGTTTCGATGTTCTACAGAGCGAGCCTACGGACCAACCTAAGATACCACCAGTCATCGTACATTACAACGAAGATTGGAATCTATTGCGAAAGAAACTACAGCTAAACAACGTAAATTTCGACAATGCCAGGAGTACCAAAGAGGGAATCAAGATACAACCACGAACAGAGGAAGACCACAACAAGCTGACAGCCTTATTAGACAAAATGGACTATTATTACTTCACATACACGTGCGATCGAAACCGGCCGGTCAAATACGTTATGAAGGGTATTCCCACCACACTGTCATGCGACGACGTCCTAAACGACCTTGAAGGGAACGGGCTACGCGACGCAACCGTCCATAGGATGAAGAGCCGGTCTAAAGAGATTCCCCTGGTTCTAATCATTGCGCCTAAAGAAATGGAAACAAAAATCAAGGACATCAAGACATGTTGCCACTTACGGGTTACAATAGAGCTATACCGCCAACAACGCCGACCTACACAATGCCATCGCTGCCAGCGCATTGGACATGTCNTGAAAGCAGGCTGAAGAGGGCCTTCCGCCCTACCTTCCGGCATAATCCGGAGGGACTGCCCGCCCACCAGCATTACTGGCTGGTGGGAATGAAACACCCAAAAGTTTTTTTTTTCCCCTGAGTACCGATAAGACCGAGCGGCATGGCCTAGAGGTCTAGACCATTGCTTAGCATTCGGGAGGACGCCGATTCGATTCCGGGTCCGTCTGCCTTGGTCCAAATTTTTCTGTGGTTTCCTTGGATCACTTAGGCGAATGCTGGGGCAGTAATATACCACAAATAATGTTTGATTCTCTTCTGTCTTCATTTCGTCCGTCTCATCTTTCTCACCCGAACCACCACCCACCCATTCCCACGATTCATGAAAGCAGGCTGAAGAGAGCCTTCCGCCCTACCTTCTGACATAGTCCGGAGGGACTGCCCGCCCACCAGCATTACTGGCTGGTGGGAATGAAACACCCAAAAGTTTTTTGAGTACCGACGGCTGAAGAGGACCTTAATTGGTCCTAGAACGGCCTGAGGTAAAGGAGTTTTAGTCGGTAGGTCCGAGGACTTCTTACTCGGGAATGCGACACTATCCAGTGGTACGGACAGTACCGAGACCTTCAAATCAACCAACTCGAACTATGGCTCAGTAAATGGCGTATAAAACCTAACCCAACTCATCCTATTCAGACATCCTAATCTCGTCACCAAAAAATCCCTTTCAACGCGCGATATAAATGTTACACTACTTAACACTCGACTAACACTGAAAACAGAAATAAAATACTTAGGAATCACACTAACACACACAATGAACCCACACACAGACATCACAAACACACTGGATACGACGAGTACGAAAACGAGCTAACTTAATCTCTCTAATAAACGGTCGAATAAAGACGTGTAATACAAAAACACTTCTCCACACATACAAAACATTATACGAAAACATTGATATCATACCAATCCCCACACGCATTAACACACTACAAACAAACTTCAGTAAAAGAGCCATCGAAAACACCAACCCCATCACAACAAAAACCCTATTCTACATAAAAATTTCTCTGAAAAAATGTCCCCTTGAGAGAAAATTTCCGAAAAATTAATTTAAACGAAACCTTGAATAACTGTTGAATAAGAAAATTTGTTCAGAAGTTATATGGTCCCGTTTAAAATAATTTTCCGGAGATTTATGCCGATTGGACATTTTTCCTAAATCACCTCTTTTCCTTTTCTTTCCGGCAACTTTTTTCCGTGCGGAATCTTTGCCGGGGTTTTCTCCCAAAGAATTTTTTTCCGTAAACCACCCCGCCCCCACCCCCTTTTCCTTAACTTGCACTACGTTACAAATGGGTGTCTAATAATGCATGACATTAAGCAGTTTCCAAATTAAAGCCAAATATTGGCATTATATGAAAAGTAGATAACAATAAGTAAATAAAATAATTATAAATAAAATTTGTAAAAGGGAACGAATTGAAAAATAATTTTTAATTGTCGTTTCCTTCTTTACTGGACGAATGTAGGTAACTTTAAAAATTTGTCTAAATACTGT